CACAACACACAGCACACAAGCACACAACACACAACACACATCACATAACGCACAACACACAACACAACACACACACACACACCACACAAAACACACACCACAACACACACAGACAACACAGAACACACTACGCAACGCGCAACACGCAACACACAGCACACACCACACAGCACAACACAAAACACACAACACAACACACAACACACACCACACAGCACACAACATACAACACACAACACACACAACACATAACACACAGCGCACACAACACAAAACACTCACACAACGCATAACACACATCACAACACACAACACACACCACACAACACACACACACTCACACACACACACCACGCACCCAACACACAAAACACACAAAACACAACGCACATAACACACAACACACACAACAAACAGCAGGCAACACACACAACAAACAGCAGCACAAAGCATACACAGCACACAGCATACAACACACACAAGACACTTTTACCGTTGGCGGCGAGGCAGAACTGCCGCGCCGGCGGTCGGGCTAAACGGGGCCACCGAAGAGCGAATACACACAACACGCAACACACAACACATACAACACACACAACACACAGCACACACCACACACAACACACAACACACAACACACAGCGCACACAACACACACGCAACACACAACACACAACACACACACACACCACGCATAACACGCATACCACGCACACCACGCACAATACACAACACACACAACACACAACACACAACGCACACAACACACAGCACACAACGCACGCACAACAGATGCACAACCCACAGACATCAGACACAACACACACACACAACACGCAAAACACAACGCACATAACACACAGCACACGCAACACACACAACACACGCAGCACACACAACACACAACACACAACACAACGCGCACAATACTCATCACACGCCAGACACAAAACACACACAGCACTCAGCACAGACAACACACAGCACACACAACACAACACACACACACCACACGCACAACACACACAATTCGCGCAACACACAACAGACAGCGCAGACAACACACAACACAAACAACACATGCACACGACACGCACACCACACACCAAACCTCACAACACACATCACACAACACACAACACACAACACACGCCACACAACACAAACAAGCCACACACGCCACACACACCACATACAACGCACACACGAACCCGGCACACACATCACACAGCACACACCGCACACAACACACAACACACAACACACACACAACACACATATCCCTCACACCACACACAACACACACACACCACACGGCACAACACACAACACACAAACACACAACACACAGCACAGCCATCACCCAAAACACAACACACAACACACAACACACACAACACACAACACACACCGCACACAACACGCACAATACGCACAACTCACGACCCACAACACACAACACACAACACCCAACACACACAACACACAACACACACCGCACAGAACACGCACAATACGCACAAGTCACGACCCGCAACACACAACACACACAACACACACAAACAACACAACACAACACACACAGCGCACAGAACACACAACACACAACGCACAATACACGCACATCACACATCCACGGATTCACATCACACAACACACAACACACACAACACACACAACACACACAACACAACACACGTCACACACAGCACACACAACACACATACACCCATCAAACACACCACACAACACACCACACATACAACATTCAACACAGCGCAGCACGAACACACACACAGCACACACAGCACACACACAACACACACAACGCACACAACACACGCAACACACATCACACTAGACACACAACACACAACACGTACACCACACAGCACACACCACACACCACACATCACACACAGCACACAACACAGACCGCATAACACACAGTTCACGACACACATAGCACACAGCGCACACAACACACAACACACAACACACACACCACACACAGCGCACAACACACAACACACACAACACATGCAACACAACACAACACACACACACAACACACACCAAACACAATACACAGCACGAAGACCACACAACACACACAACACACACCATACACATGACACACACACATACCACCCAAGGCACATACCACACCGACACAGCACACAACATGCAACACACAATACACCACATACAACATCAACCACACACCACACACCACACACTACACACCACGCGCCACACATCACACACAACACCGCCACAACGCCACAAGACACAACACACACACCATCCAATTCACAACACACAAAACACAACACACAGCACACCACACAGAACACACAGCACACACAACACACACCACACAGCACACACCACATACTACACGCACGCCACACAACACACACCACATAACACACACACACGCCACAACACACAACACACAGCACACAGCACACGGCACACAGCTCACATCACCCAACATGCAACACACTATTCACAACACACAATACACATCATACACATCATACACCACACAACACACAACACACAACACACACCACACACCACACACCACACAACACACACCACACAGCACACTTCACACAACACACACCACACAATACACACCACATAACACACCACACACAATGCACAACACCACGCAGCACACTCAACACACAACACACAACACACAAGACACACCACACAACACAACACACAACACACAAGACACACCACACAAGACACGGCACACGACACAACACACAGCACACACCACACACCACACACCACACACAACACACAACACACAATACACAACACACAACACACAATACACAACACACAGCATACAGCCCGTAACATACAGCACACAGCAGCAACACAACCCACAGCACACAACACACAATGCACAACAGACAACACACACACAACACGGAACACGCAACATACAAATACACGCACGCACCCACGCACCCACGCACCCACGCACCCACGCACCCACGCACCCACGCACCCTGCACGTACGCACCCACGTTCCCACGCACGCATGTACCCACGCACGCACGCACGCACGCACGCGCACACACACACACACACACGCACACGCACACGCACACACGCACACACGCACACACGCACACACGCACACACGCACACACGCACACGCACACACGCACACACGCACACACGCACACACGCACACACGCACACACGCACACTCGCACACTCGCACACACGCACACACGCACACACGCACACGCACACACGCACACACGCACACGCACACACACGCGCACATCCATTCACCCATACCCACACACAACACGCACTCAAACAAACACACACACAACACACACACACACGCACACGCACACGCACACGCACACGCACACGCACACGCACACGCACACGCACACGCACACGCACACGCACACGCACACGCACACGCACACGCACGGACGCACGCACGCACTCATGCATGCATGCATGCATGCACGCGAGCACGCCTCTCTTTGTCATTACTTCTCATTGTTCAGCCACGGGGTGTCGCCTGCTGGTCACTCGGTATCCCACCCGCACGCGAGCGTGTCAGGCTGCTGTGCCGACTTGCAGGTGAGCTCCGCTCGCGGACGTCCTCCTTCTTGTCTTCCTCTTCCTTCTCCCGTCGGTCGTGGCGCCCCCTCCTCCCCTGGCTGCCCTTCTCCGTTGAACGAACGCAGAAATATGTCTCGCCTCGCATTGATGGGGGAGAAGGGAGGATAAGGTGGTCCTCCTTGTCGTCCTCCTCCTCTTGCCTCTCCTACCTATGGTAGTGATGGTGGAAACTGACCCTATCAAAATCAGCGCCAGTCCTCTTATCTCCAGGCCAGTCCCGTCCTGGGCCCCATCCCAGGAGGCTCGCCCGCAGATTGTGGAGGCTTCGTGCCGTAGCTCCGCTTGCGCGCGCGGAATGTGCCACAGCGTTGCTCGCGAGTTTATGCTGAGCATGAGCCGCATTCATCTTAGTAGGATTTCCCTCTCACACAGGTGGTCCGCTCCGCTCCGCTCCGCTCTCTTCCCTTGGTCCCACCATCTTCCACCTTCACTAATTCCGAATGGTGGCATGACGAGATGAGCGAGAAGATAAGTTCATCTTGTCCTCCTCATCGATGTTCCTCCTCCTGTTCCTTCCTCTCCCTCCTTCTTCCGGCCTTTTTGTCATTTCTCATCCTTCCTGTCTTCTCTCATATGGTTTCTCCTGCGTTATCCTTTTCCTCTTCCTGTCATCCTCCTTCCTCCTCCTGTCATCCTCCTTTCCCCCCTCGTCCTTATCATCCTCCACCTACACTAGTTCCAAATGGTGGCAGGACGAGCTTATCGAGAAGATCGGAGGTTCGGGGGTGAGTTCGAAGAGAAATGGAGACCTCCCACTGGGACATCGGTTTCGGTTCCGTGTTCGTGTTGCGCGTGCGGGCGAGGCGGGAATATCGATGGTGAGGTCGATAGGGCGATGGATAGATGGCCCAACCGGTGCTCCTTGGTGCACAACTTGTTTCCGCCGAGTCCTATTCGACATCGATCGCACACCGAAATCTGAACTCCCCTCGCTTCCATAACCTCCTTACCACCTGAAGGGTGGTCGTATAGGTAGGCTCATGTGGTCCTCATCATCAGTCCTCCTTCTCCTGCTCCTTCATCCTAATGTCCCTCCATTCCCTCATAAGTCTCCCTGCCTCCATCAGTCATGTGGGACGATCACGGAACGAGCTGGCTGAGGAGGTGGTCGATTTGATTTGGTTCTCCCACCTCCGCCTCCTCATCAGCCCTCCTCCGTTTCATCCTCCTCACCTGTCTTATCAATCCCCATCGGCCATCTTCTCATTTTCCCTTCTCTTCCTCTTCCCCTTCACTGCTTTGCCTCTTCCCCGCCATCATCTATTCATTATATGCTGTCGTCATCCTTTTCCCCCGCCCCTCCCTCTCATGCCATGAGCGGCGGGAGGATGAGCTGATCGAGGAGGTGAGCGCCATTATGGGCCACGAGCCCTTCGATTTCTTCTACCTCCCATGGGACGCGGGGCGGACCCAATCTGATGGGAGGAGGCTGGGGACGAGGGAGGATGCGCTTCCGCCCCACGGTTGGATCATGTTGTCCGCTTCCCGTCGTCTCCATCCCAAGAAAGGAAATGGAATATGAGGCGTGACGTTTGCCATTCCGAAGTGACCAGACCGATCTGGGAAGGCGGCGAGTGACGACGCCTCAGGGCGGCACGGCGCTGCCAGCCTCATTTGCTGCTCTGCGCGTCGGAGGGTGGTTCCTCCGCTCCCCTCTCATCTCCACTCCACCCCTGCCTCCCTGTTCCCCTCCCCTTCATCCCCCAGCCTCCCCTCCCGTCCCCCTTCCCCTACCCCCCACACCCACCCACCCACTCTGTCTCTGTCGCTGTCTCTTTGTCCGTCCTTGCCCCTGTCCCTGTCCCTGTCTCTGTCGCTCTATCGCTCTGTCGCTCTGTCTCTGTCTGTCGCTCTGTCTGTTTGTCTGTCTGCCTGCCTGCCTGCCTGCCTGCCTGCCTGCGTGCCTGCGTGCCTGTGTCTGTCGGACCGCCGACCTGCGCGGACAGGCGGGGCCGGGGGCCGGGGCCCTCCTCAACTGCCGCACGGGAGGCGCCCTGCTCGCCGGAGGACGCCCCCTGTGGGAGACCGCCGCGCGCCGCAGGCGGCACCTCGAGCGGCCCGCCCTGCAGCCGCAGCGAGCTTGGCGGGGGCGACGGCGGCCTGCTGAGCTGCGCAGCGTGAGCGGGGCAGCCCTGCGGATTCCCCCCTGGGCAGCCGCGGCTGCCGCGGCGCCGCCTGCCAGAAATGGCGGCGGCGCGGCGCGCTGGAGCGCGCGGCTCGCGCGCCGGCTCGGAGGACTGCTGCGGAGGCGGCGGCGCGAGCAGCCTCTCTTCGAACAGAGGGTCCTTGAGTGGGACAGGCAGCCGCCCGGTCGCGGCACGGAGCGCGCGGTGCTCGACTCGGAGTAGCAAGGCGACGACGGGCGGCGCTGGCTCGATGTCACGGTGCGACGCCCCGCCGCGGGAACGCAGGCGGAAATCTGAGTGGCCGCCCGCCGGGATGGCGAGGCCAGCGGGAGGGGTGAGCGCGAGGAGCGCTCGCGATATCCAGGCGAGTGTTTGGCCCCCTTCGTCCTGGAGGTCGTGGGGAGACTGGGCGCCGACGCCCGCCTCTGGCTGAAGGCCGAGGTGAACAGGCAGGACGACCAGGACCGGCAGCGCGAGCTGGCCCGCGCCCGCCGGGTGCCCAGCAGCGGGCTCGAAAGCGAGCTTGCGCGCCAGCAGCGCGCCGCCGCGGGCTTGCGCTGAGGCGCCAGCAGGCGGCGCGCCGCTGCGCGGGAGACAGCGGCCGCGCGCCGCCGCGGGCCCGCGCTGGCGCGCTACGAGAGCTGCTGGCGACGGCGCCCGAGGCCGCTGCGCGGCGGGCGCCCCTGCGCCGACGAGGGCGGCTGCGAGCTGCAGGGGGGGCGCCCGCGGACGCCGGCTGCGCGCCGCGACTGGCTCGCTCCGGGCGCCTCCGAGAGCTGCGGCGGCGCCGGAGGCCGCAGCGCGGGCGGGCGCCGCGGGACTGCCGGGGCGCGCGCCAGCGCGGGGCCCCCGCCGCGGGATTGCCGAGCAGGCTCGGCGCGGCGCGGGCGGCGCGGGCGGCGCGCCGCGCAGGGCGGGCGCTGCTGGGCGACGGGGGGCGCGGGCGGGGCGCCCGCCCGTCTGCCTCGCGCGCCTTCCTCGTTCCCCCTCTTCTCGGAGGGGGCGGCAGGGGCGACTGGCCCAGGGGAGAGCAATGCACGCATCCAGGGGCGCCGAGGACCCCTGTCTTCGGCGAGGCTCCCGGGCGATGGCGTGCACTGCCCGCCCCTGGGCTATTCGCTCCTATCGTCGCCCCTGATATTCCTCTTCCTCCTTCCCCCTCATGGGCGCTCCTTCCGCGCGCTGGCCTTGCTCCGCGTCGTGGCCCTCGTTCCCCTGGCGCGGCTGCGGCGCGCCCTCGAGGCGTGGCTGGTCGGCGGGCCAGTAGCGTGGGAAGCCGA